GAGAGAGAGAGAGAGAGAGTCAGTCCGGCTCGCTCGCGGGCGAGAGAAACTTCCTCTTGCCCTTAGCCTTGGTGAAAGAAAGAGATTCCGGTACCCAAAAGCGGGGGCACAGCAGGGCCATGCAGAGCCCATCCCTCAATATGAAGAATTCGGCTCGCAGCGGATGCGCGGCCGGGGGACTGCCCTTGGCTTAAACCAGCAAATCCAAGGGGGAGGGAGGGAGAGAGAGAGAGAGAGAGAGCTTCGATGTTTACTGGTTTTTGTTGCGTCGGGGCCTCAGAGGGACAGAGAGTTGTTGCGCACCTTGACGAACATGCCAGGGGGCCCTGCCATCGAACGGTTTTCGCATGATCGCCTTTAGGCTTGTTGTTGATGTTGTGTCCTTGCTTTGCAAAAACAAGGCGGGGGACCCTGGGCATGGAATGGGAGCCTAAAACCATTGGATCTCCAGCCTACTCGGACAAACTGTAGTCTAGGGGGGAATCACCCTGGTTCGTTTCCGGCTTTGGTTAGAGTAGTCCGCAGCCCAGGCGAGGTCCAAATCAGTTTCTGGTGGCTGGGCAAATACATGCGGGGAACCCCACAGTGTACTAGTTCACTCAGGGATGCCCTTAGGCGTGTGAGCAGTGTTGTGCCCTTGTTTTGCACCGACAGAAAGGGGGACCCGCAAAACATGCCGGCATGCCAATTCAGCCCATGTCACATGAAAAAACTTCGGCGTGCGGAAGAACCTTTTCCTTACCGAGGGACCTTGTTGCTCTTTGTGTTTTTAGACAGTCCCACATGCCGGGTGAAATCAGGTCAGCCACCCTGCAAAAACATGAAAGCTTCAAGCAGGGGGACTTGCATGTATTGGTGTGTCGTCTCATGCCCTCGACTGATGTTAGATTTGTTTCCTTCATTATGGGGGACCCTTCCTGAGTGGCATGAGAATGACAGCACAAACTTTTCCTCAACAGGCGTCCCAAGAAGTACTGTATGTGAAACCCGGGGGGAAACACGTTTCTTCACCTAATTGGTCATGAGGTAATAGGTCGGAAAAATACCCCCCGGGGAAAACACATCAACCTTGCTTTTCACGCCTCCTCAAAGCCCCATAACAAGTGGGGGGCCCTAGTGGCCGGGGGNNTAAACCGCCTCCCATGCCCTGGCGAAGAAGAGAGAGAGAGAGAGAGAGAGAGAGAGAGAGAGAGAGAGAGCGCGAGCGAGGGAGGGAGGGAGGGAAGGGCAGGGAAGGGAAGGGAGGGAGGGAGGGAGGGAGGGAGAGGGAGAGAGAAACCGTTTTGGTTCAAGCTGCCTACGTCGACTTTGTGGAGATCGAGCCCGTGACTGAGCACAGGTGAGCCTTGCAGTGAGAGGGCGCAAAATAGTGACCTTTTGCCGGGGGATGCGTATGCGCTTTTACCTTGCATGTTCAATGAAACATTTAATGTCTTTTCTGTACCTCGGGTGTGAATTCTTTAAACAGGACTGGGGGGACTTTTCCTCGCGATCCTTCTCGGGCAAACTCAATCAACCTTAGGCCCATTTTGGCCTGAAGCCCTAGTTTCTTTTCAATACACCGATTTGAGGCAGATGTTGACGACTCATGAATTCTGGGGGAATGGAAGGCTGTAATTCATCGTTCAATGAAACTCCACTGGTGCCTGCTTACAAACAGCGGGGATGTGAATGCAAGCTTTTCCTTCAACCCCCAGCAGCCTGCAGTTTCTGGGGGAAAGGGGGTATTGCACGTTTGATGCGTGATGTTTTTTTTTCATGCCGGAAAACTGTGGGCCTGCCCTTTTTTCGTCCCTCATAAAGCCGAGCCTTCCTTGGCAAAGCTGAGGAGTAAAACCTGTGGACCACAGGTGCGCATGCGCGCGAGGAGGGGGACCTGCTTCCTCTTCCATTTACCTGCGAGAGAGAGAGAGAGAGAGAGAGAGAGAGAGGGAGAGAGCGAGAGCGAGTCTCAGATTGTTTTGTACACATGCTATCCCCCTAGGGTTCTATCGAGAACTTTGTCATTGTTTTATCCCGAGGCCAGGCAGGAAACCCTCCAAAAACAATGTTTTTTCGGCGGGACCCCTCAACACTCAGGGGAAAGCTCCTAACTGGTTCTGATCTTACTCTACTTATATTATCCTATCGGGAGATGCCTATAGTACTGTATGTCATCGGTGTACCTCAGGGGGAGCCAACAGGAGTTGTGCAGGTACTGACACCAGCTCTTTTCTGTGATGCCACTTTTTTGGGGGGAAGATATCAGTAGTGTGCATGGTTCTTGTTGTGACTCGTTTCGAAATTATCCCGCGTAGCATTTACAGGTTGAATGTCCTACACCGGGGGGGACAACTCATCCTCATCGTTTTTTGTTACATCATGTTAATGCCCTTGGTTGAGACGTGGGATGAACATAGTCTTGCACCCGTTGCATGTGTCCTTGAGAGAGTACGATCGTCATAGCACCGTTTCACATACTCTGTGGCCTTAGCCTGCATCACCATCTACACTCGTTTGTCACTCCCCTCTGCCCGATGAAACATCGGGTGCGCATGATGCCTGGGGAGTTTGACCGGCCCCTATGCCCAGAGAAAGAGAGAGAGAGAGAGAGAGAGAGACGCCAGCTTGAGCTGTAGAGCTCCGAAGCCCAAACAGAGGGCCGAATATCGGGGACAACGAACCCAGACCAGTAGCCACCTACAACGACAGCTAGCTACAACACTGAGTGAGGGTCGGCACCTGCCAGCTCGCCAAGGCGGGATTGAGGGGTTCAAACACGGGGGCATACAGGACTGCTTGCGCTACCAGGAAGCAGGTGCCGACACTCACCAACGTCTCACCACGGACAGACACGAGACCTCGGCGTAGCGCGTGAGCGCAGGGGCTATGTCTTGAGGGGCCTACCCCAAACGTCGTGCAAGCAAGCAAGAAAGACAGACAGACAGACAGACAGACAGAGAAGAGATGCATGGGGGGCAAACATCCTACTGAAGCTTGATGACCATGAAGATAGCATGATGGCCTGGTTTATGCCTTATGCTCAAGAAGCGACGACTGAAAAGAAAAAGATCAACGATGCTGAAGACCAAGATGAACACAGAGAGTGGTCTTCCTCCTGGTTTAGCGACACTGTCCAGTACCGGCACTGCGACAGGCAGACCTACATTATCACCGCCAGAGGTTATGCTGTGAGCGGAGGAGCATAATCGATGTCGCGACGACTGCAGGCCCATGTCGTGGACGGACGCACCGTGGACCTAGACATTTGAAGCTGTTGCCTGTGCCTGTTCAACAGATACTGAAGAAAGTGGAGCCACACATGTTCAACAGATACTCAGATACTGAAGCAAGTGGAGCCACAGCCCGCTCTTCCCAATCACTTGGCGAATATCTTGGACGACGTCGTCAACAAGAAAACAAGAAAACAGATTTCATGTCTCAACTAGACCTCCACATTCTTCTTGACACCTCATCTGTGATGCCAGAGCATCCATGCCCGAACCGTGTTTAACATCCTCTGACGCCTCATCCGTGATCCCGAGCAACCATGCCCGAACCGTGTTAACGTCTTCTGACACTTCATCCGTGATCCCAGAGCATGCATGCCCGAACTCTGACACCTCATCCGTGACCCTAGAGCATCCAGGCCCGAACTCTGTTAACTGAGATTTCATCCGTGGTCCTCAGCATCGCCCGAACCGTGATAAAGTCCACCGAGACCTCATCCGTGATCCCAGAGCATCCATGCCCGAACCGTGCTAACGTTTTCTGACGAACCGTGCTAACGTCCACTGAGACCTCGTCCATGATCCCAGAGCCTCTACGCATCTCCATGCTCCTAACGTCCACTGAGACATACTGAGACTGAGACCTTGTGAGTGATCCCAGAGCATCCATGCCACACCGCACAACGTCCACTGAGACCATGCCCGAACCGTGACAACGTCCACTGAGACCTCGTCCGTGATCCCAGCAGGTCGCGGGATTCGCCTGCCACTAAGGCCGTTGGAACGAGCTCATGGCTAACCTGAGAGTCATCGAACCGCAATAAACCCACACAAATCGGGGCACCGTTTCATGGCTGATGCTGGGACCAAAAACATCCCAAAATCAAGTCTCACCGACTGGATCGATCGAAAGTCTTGTGCGTCGCGGGTAGTCGCAAGACGGTGGCATTTATGTGCCCATGTCCAACCTCGAGCAAGCAAGCAAGCAAGCACGCGAGAACCGTAGTAACACGCAGCAGCATCAGGAATCAGAAGGAGCATACTTTCTCATTAGTGGGCGCCATTGAAAGAAAAAAGAAGAAAGAAAGACAGAGAGAGTGAATGCCAGTTGGGTAGTTAGGTAAGAGGTTGAAGAGAGCACGCGCATTCGGAGGCAGAGCCTAGCTGTGTTGAGAGTGGATACAGTTGTGAAGTCTTCCCGAATGCCGGCTTGGCTGCGGTGCCATTTGCACCTCTGCTCAAACAGCTAGTCGTATGTGCACAACCTAACAGCTACAGCGAACCGCACGAAGGAAGGGACCAAGTTTAGCCTAGGATGAAGCACTTCTCGACGGCGCCTGACAGGACATTCGGAGCCACTGCGAGTCTATACAAGAGACTCCCAGAATCGTCGGAGGCAACCAGAGGAGACTGATTGAGTCAGGATTTCGGCCATGGCCCATCACAGTGCCAGCGCTGATGATTTGCAGGAGTGCTGATGACGAAATGACAATCAAGTGTGCATATCACAGAAATTGTCGCCTTCTGGACAACGATAACTACAAGGACCGCCTGATTTTTCTGCGCAGAGCGATGCCACAGAACTCTTTGTTTTGGCACATCAGCTGGTTGCGTCTCCTTCCCAGGACTGGCTGCATACATTGCGGAAAGCGGAAATCCGAAACTGGTACTCATTTAGCCAAGACCGCATTCACATGAAGTACTTCTTTGATTCGGAAGCTGCTTGGCTTGACGTGGGTCGGAGAGGATCAGGCTTTGCTACATGTCGAAGCTGAGTTGCCCAATTTCAGGTTGGTTTCTTCGAAACTTTGGATGGCAACGCTGCGCGAGGGGCCAGTGAAGAGCCCGAGGAGCGCCGACCTCGTCGCCAGGCCACGGCCATGGCCGCTCGTCACACCATTTGCGGATGTTCGCGGCAGAAGGAGTGGTTTTCTCTGTTGCCTTTCAAGGCCACATCAAGAAGTAGATCTAGGGTATTGCTGTAGGGTTCATGCCTGCAGCTTCTAGTTGTGCACAGTGCACAGAATTTTGACACATTGCCATTGCTCTCTCTGAAGTTGCACAGACCCGACGAACCTTTTCGCAGCAGCAATGCGTATTGGTGCGGGCTGTCTGCCTTGAAAACTCCCTATGCGTCATGTCTCGCTCCCCGAAGCCACTGCCACAGCCAGCTATATATCCTGGGGGCAGTGTAGGCCGAAGGCGTGGCAGAGCTGAGTTGGCTAAGACTCTGCGAAATCGATTGCGGCACCCATAATTGCCTAAGGCATCTGAGACATCTGAGACCGTAAAGTCGTTCTCTAAATCGAGCCGAGGACGACCGGATTTGCGTTACTCCGCCAGAAGATGGCGGTGGCCCGAACTCAAAGCGAGCCCCACACTCCAGCGCTTTGAACAGCGTGTCAGCTCCAGTGCTGCTGCCGAGCCACGGCTGATTTCAGGGAACCTCCAGCGGAATGGAACAAGGGAATAGACTATGTCTCAGGGAACGGGTCTCAAAGTATCTCTTAACTGTCACGCCACGCGTCCCGGAACTCTCTCTGGTCAAGGCGTGTATTAGCACTAAAGGAACCCCCTACCAGACCAAAACGACAGCACATCCATCTCCCCACACCCAGACATGCAATGGGCCAGCATAGCATCCACAGCAAGCCACCTGTCAAATTCGAAGAACGGAGCAGACAAATTTCAATCGTTGGGGCACTGGCATCGCAGGCGACCTTGAGAACTGCCTACCTTCCCAGTGTACTGTACTGATGCAAGCCGTGCACGTGTGTGCGCACGTGCAGAGACGCGATCAGGAGAAAATCAGCTTGAATGCTTGAAGTATCTTGAAATCATACATTTGATAGAAAGATCGCGTTATGCTTCAACCATCCGGAAGCCTAATTGCCACCACGAGGACTGAAGCAGGCTTTCGGCACCATAGAGGTCCGACGATCACGATGCCATCTGCCAATCTTGATTCATCTCAGACCGTCGACTTGACTGCAGCGGCCTTAGTCATGGGACAAAGCCGGACAATGTCACACATTGCAGCACTCCAAGCAGAGGCCGAACTTGCGCCGAAGCGCCTGTGGGCATCAAAGATGGATGTCAACACCTGCAAGGCCTCATGTCCAGTGGCTGTCATTCACGGGTCGTCACAGGTGAGTCATCTTTGCAAAGGCTGGTTGGACTCCGTTGTGCACGGCCGCATCGCAGGGCAAGGTCGAGTCTGTCAAGCAGCTACTGATGCTAGGCGATGGGTTCTTTAAAGACATTGACGCCGTGACTGCATCTTGCAGAAGACACGGCAAGCGCTGAGCCAGAAGGTGCAGATCCAAACATCCCAAACGGGTTCGGCCACTGCCTCAGATCTTCTGCTTGAAACGTGAATTCGGCTCTTGGTGGCTCACATGTGCATGGAAAGAGCGAAGGAGCGCATCCGGTCTTCTACGCTCTACGCAACTGGAGCCTGCGTATGTTTCGCCTGCTGATGAAGCACGGAGCAGACGTACGACGCGCAAGGCAGCACTGCTCGCAGGGTTTGGGAGTGCTATGTGGTCATGTGCATCCGCACTCATGTTGCCTTCTTGTGATGCCCGTCCACGCTTTCGCGACGATCGGTTTAATTATACGAGGCGTAAAGATTAAAGAGGTGCATCTGCCAGCTTGGCAGCGTAGCTAGCGCGGATCTGCTCAGGAGCGAGCGGGGAGAGTCTTTACAGGCGGATTGCTGTGCATCGCTGTGTCATGCACTAGACACATCCCTCCTTGGAATGCGGAAGGCTTATGCAGAGAGAAAGGTGCAACAGGCGGCAGACTCAAAAGCCTTCGGGGCTGCCCATTTTTCAACGGCATCGTGCCAGGCCAGTCCCGCAGACTGCGAGTCGCAGCTTTCTAATACCACACCTGCTTGAAGTTGGAGTGATCCCTAAAGACTCTCTTTCAGGAGCTCCTGGACAAAGTTGGTATCTCGACTTGATGAGTTCGTTGTCCTGGACTAGCAACGAGGAACAATGTACACATGAATGCTGGCCTGCGCAATGGTGATTGTCTCGCTTTAAGGTGCACAGAAGGCAGCCAAGTTGGCTTTGGATGCTGCCGCTGCAGCGCAAGGGTCTGCTAAACGTCGCAAGCTTCGCAGCAATGGGTTGGCACCTTGTTTCAACAAGTTGCCAGTGACGCAACACAGGCAGCTCTGTGTAGCAGCTTAACCTTGCTCCTCCGACTTCTGCGGTTTAAGTGCGTTCACGGCACAAGCCATCCAAACTCCGTCCAATCTCGAAAGCCGGCCCTTAGCATGTCAGTTGGGCATGCACCGCTTTGAAGAACAGGCACGTGCGGAATCCATGTTCAAGAATCTCACACAGTGCTTTGTCAACCCGACAATCACACGTCCAGGCCGTTTGTCAGAATAAACCGCCTGCCCTATCTAGACAATGGTCTAGACAACTTCTAGACACAAATGAATAAATCAGTGTATGTATGTATTATGTATGTATGTATGTATGTACGTATGTATGTATGCATTTATTACAAATGTATGTGTATATTTATATATGTAGAGAGAAACACACAGCGCGTCGGAATACGGACATTGTCTAGCAAAAGAGCAGTTTTGTTTAACGCGTGTTCTTAAGGGCTCAGGGCCAATCCGAAATTTGTGAATTCCATGAGGGATGACCCATCTAAACGAGATAGAGCTGTAATACTATCCAACTACTGTCTTCTTGTCTCGGTTTCGCCGTTTTGCCAGGGTATGGGAGTTTTCAAACCAAGACTCCCAAAGTTGAATGTTTACCACCCACCAGCTCTTCTTAGGCATGCAGTTTGAAAGAGTGTCAATTTTTTGGGAGAGTCAGTCAGTTAGTCCGTCAGCCCATGTAGAGTTCGGGATGTTCCAGCCATCCTATCTTCATCAAGCATTGTGTCGTGCACGACTGTCATCCACCATGTACTCTTACAGCTTGGATGTTTTTTGGGAGGAAACGTCATCTCTCTCAACAACTGAAGTTTGCGGCAGTTTTCTGCTATCCCTTGAAAATACAATCACCGGTGTTTTTGCCGAGAAACACAAGCCCTATAAGGGGCGACACGGTCCCTAAATCTTGAAACCACAAGGCCCCAATGGACTGCGTTTATCTGGTGGCTTGTCTGTCAGTCCTTTGACACACATGAGAGTGTATAGAAACATACACATGCGGTTTTTGAACTACATATGCCCGTACCTGTGCATATTATGCATGTGTGTACATGCATGCATACTGCATGCATGCATACATACATACATACATACATCTATACATCTATGCATACATGCTCGCATTCGTATGAACTCTGATGCAATACGCACACACCTGTACTTGTATGCATGCGTGCATACATACGACATACATACAACTTACCTACAGCGTATGTATACACACACATACATACACATATATACATATATACATAAATACATATATACATATATACATATATACATATATACATATATACACAAATACAAATTGACATATATACATATATACCTATATACATATATACATATATACATATATACACATATACATATATACATATATACATATATACATATATACATATATGCTACCCCCCCC